TGGAATGGAATGGAATGGAATAGAATAGAATAGAATAGAGAATAGAATGGAATAGAATAGAATAGAAATATTGGAATGGAATGGAATGGAATGGAATAGAATAGAATAGAATAGAATAGAATAGAATAGAATAGAATACTTTATTGGCCAAGTGTGATTGGACAAAAGGAATTTGTTTTGGTCCAAATCCTGTCAGTGTTCATTCAAAAGAAAAAAAATACGTTTGTCAAAAGTCATAGGTGTAGTCAAAGGGTACTGAAGTGGGTGGAGGCTCAGGCCAGGAATGGGGATGGGTGGGGGGGGGAGGAAGTGGGGAAGGGCAGAGCTCTGAACACTCTGCTTTCACTTTCAACTCCTTGCTCAGAAAACCAAACTGGGGATCGCTTCCTCGTGAAATAGCAAAGTCTCAGCAAAGCAGAAGGGGTGGAGCTGCGCAAGAAGTTTGAGAAGGGGGAAAGCCAGCCCAGGGCAGTGTTTAACTCCCTCCTCCTCCTCCTCTCCACTTCCTTCCCTGTTTCTCCCCCACTCCGGTTGCAAAGGCTCCTCGAAGCGGGGACTGAGCCCATTTGCAAAGGCTGGCGCACATTAACACTGCATGCTTCAGCAACGGTTCAAACCCACAACACGCCGCGTTTTGGTTTCTCTCTCTCTCTCTCTCTCTCTCTCTCTGTGTGTGTGTGTATGCCTTGTCTTTGGCGCGGAGTTCAGCTGGTGGGCTAGCAGCGACAAAGGCGAAGAAGACAAGAAGGAAGGAAGAGCTGCTGGCTGGTGAGAAAGGGAAGGGTTTGATTTTTTTTTTAAATTGGTTGAAAGAACGGCTGGCTCCAGACCACTAGTGGCCCTCGGGCAGCTCGAGACAAGGCCCATCATCCCCAGGCCATAAGGGGAAATGGGGATTGTAGAAAACCTTGAATTACGCCACCTTCGGTCTGATCTAAGTATGGTATATAAAATCATACGTTGCAATGTCCTACCTGTCAGTGAATACTTCACCTTCAGCCATAACAACACAAGAGCAAACAATAGATGCCAACTCAGGGTTAACCGCACCAAACTTGATTGCAGGAAATACGACTTCAGCAACAGAGGGGTCAATGTCAGGCATAGTCTACCTGACTCTGTGGTTTCTCACCCAACCCCCCCAAAACTTTAACCTTAGACTGTCTACTATTGACCCCACTCACCCCTTTCCTAAGAGGCCTGTAGGGGCTGTGCATAAGCGCACCAGCGTGCCTACCGTCCTTGTCCTATTGTTTCTTTTATGTTTCTTATATATATCCATGTATTCATAACTATGTTTTTACTTCTACCTATTATCTTGTAAGCGACTGACAAATCAAAATAAATAAAATAAAATAAAATAAACAAATAAATTGTAGTCCCTCTC